TATATATACATAATAGACGCCTTCAAAAACTCAACACTTCGTTTGCAAAGTGAGAACATGTGCTTATGTCAAATGAAGAAAGATTAATTAAAAGATGTGGTTTTTGAAGTTTATTCATTTTCCTACCAATGTGAACCATTTTGATCTCACACTCCAACGGATTGCGATACACTGTATTCCTTCTTTCGGAGAACCCCCTCCAGAAAAAATGCAGATAAACACAAATCGAAACTCAATAAAGATCTCTCGCTCTTTAATAAATTGTATGACCGCCATTAACATCTATACATACCAAAATACATCTTCACTTGGATCTTATAACATGTTCAAATTTTTTGTTGAGAAATTCAGTCCCACTTTCGCGGAAGGGCGATCTCCCAATAACTCAGAATAGCTGCGGATTCGCAAAACGGCAATCACTTTGCAGTTCAGTTCATTCCATGCGTGCGCTGAGACATGTCCGATACGAATACTGGCAAGTCCATGACATTCATGTCATGATCTTCCAGAAACGGTGTTGTTTGTTACATGGACAGTGTAAGGGAAGGAGTGTCGAGTTGAATGACAGAGATTCTGATTTTTTCTTTGCGCTGTTTGGCACCGTGAGGACGCTGTTGTCGCGGGTTCGTTAATTGCAGTCCTAAATAAGGCGTTCTTGATCTAAGTCCTGAACTAACTACACCGTGCCTCACACTGACGAAAGAAACATTTTCACGCACTCCATGCGTGCCTTGAGCTGTTACTTTTGAGGAACGAAGCGATTTCGCAAATGCGACAGCAAAATCTGCCCCTCTTAAACATGGCTGGCCACTCGAGACTGTCCTATTCTTTGTCCATCCCGGACATTTTAAGTGTGTTAAAGTTAAAGTAAGTCTTTGTGTAAGTCGAGAACAATACAAGCACTACATTTTAGCCGTATTGCTACTTCTCGGGCAGATTTTCAGCTTCGTTAAGTTGAGGAGTATTGTAATGAAAGAAATTCAAATTTGTTAATAATAATATAGCAACGAATGAAAATATTCAGTTAAGGCATAGTTTACTGTATTGTAATGAAAATTACTCAAGGAAATAGCAAAAGTCGTGCATGAGTGTGTGGACTAACAACTGCTCACTTGAGGCCCAAAACATCGTGACGATCCGAGCATATTTGGCTTTTTAACAATAACTTTTTGAAAACGTTGCTATTTTAATGGCGTTCAGTATATAATATATAATATA